TGCCTGTGGCTGCATGCGAGCCCGATTCTGTACCCACTCAGATGCCCTCCTGTCCCTCACTGTGCCCATGCAGCGACATCACCCTGAAGATCTCCATGAAGCCAATAGAACCAGTCAGGGTTCAAGGTTGCCCTAAAAATGTTCTAGTGGGAGCCCGACTTGGTCCTTATCTTGCATGTGCCAGGATCCCACATGGGTGCCAGTTCTAATCCCGACAGCCTCACTTCTGATCCAGGTCCCTGCTTGTGGCCTGAGAAAGCAGTTGAGGATGGCCCAAAGCCTTGGGATCCTGCAGCCACGTGGGAGACCTGGAAGAGGTTCCAGGTTCTTGGCTTCAGATTGGTTCAGCTCTGGCCATTGCAGCTGCTTGGGGAGTGAATCATGGGACAGAAGATCTTCCACTCTGTTTCTCCTCCTCTCTATATATCTGACTTTCCAATAAAAAATAAAATAAATCTAAACAAACAAACAAACAAGTAAAAAAAGCAGTCCTAGTGGGGCTATGGGGACTGAGGCATCTACCTAGCTCTGCCATGACTTCCTGGGCCCACCCACATCCCTCTAGCCTCCAACACTCTCAGCGGGAGCTGTCCCTCCACCCACTGACCCCCCACTTTCTTTCAACTCACTTGGTGTTTATCTCTTGCAAGAACTCTTCTGGGACTGGTGCTGTGATGTTGCATGGGAGCAGCACCCCATGTGGGTTCTAATTCATGCCTTGGCTGCTCTGTTCCTGATTCAGCTCCTTGCTAATGTGCCTGGGAAAGCAACGGAGGCTGCTATAAGTACTTGGGCCCCTACTCCCATGAGGAAGACCCAGATGAAGCTCCTTGCTCCTTGCTCCTGGCTTCAGCCTGGCCCAAATCTGGCCATTTGAGTCCCTTGGAAAGTTTAACAGCAGAAAGATCTCTCTTTCTCTCTCTGTAATTATGACTTCCAAATAAATAAGCCAACCTTTAAAAAAGGGAACTCTTCTGAAATTGCAAAGGCAGCATGTGAAGCTTTGGACACAGTAGGAAATGAGCTGTGCATTGACCAGATTCGGTCTCCATTCTGAGCTCTGCCATTTACTAACAGAGAAAGACTGGCGAATGCCTTGGTCTCTGACCTCACTTCTCCATCCGCAAAGCCCAGAGAATGGCATTCATCTTACTAGGTGGTTACACACAGTAAGGGAGATGGTGTTTGCAGACTCATCAGTAAAACTCACACTGGCTGCTGTAAGAAACCACCCCCTCACCCCCCGCCCAGGCCAACACCGTGGCTCAGGGTACAAAAGGCTAAGCCTCCATTTTCAAGCATCAGCATCCCAAACGGGTGCAGTTTGTGTCCTGGTTGCTCCACTTCCCTTCCAGATCCCTGCCTGGAGCCTGGGAAAACAGTAGAGGATGGCCCAAGGCCTTGCTACCCTGCACCCACACGGGAGATCTGGAAGAAGCTTTCTATTGGCTCAGCTCCAGCCATTGAAGCCATCTGGAGAGTGAAGCAGCAGATGGAATATTTTTTCTCTGTCTTCCTTCTTTGTGTAAATCTCTCTTTCCAACAAAAATAAATACATTAAAAAATCTTTCAATCTCAATGACTTGCTACAAGGGTTTACCCCTCACTTGATAAACAGGGCTTTGCAAACTGCCTTCCTGCCAGCTCTTCTCCTTCCATTCCCCTGGATTCCTCCACGAGACCCTGCAGAGCCCAACAGGGTTAGGAAGGAACTCCCAGCAGACTGACTTCACATTGCCTACGTCCTGTCCTGTCCTGTCACTTACTTCGCCCACTCCAACGGAGACTGTGACTAACTGCCCTGAACATTCAGGTGGAGGCAGAGGGACCTCCAAGCACCTGGGCAGTGTCTACAAGCAGGCTCCTAATTCTCAGCACACTGCCTGCCATGCTGTGAGAGTCCCATCCACAAAGTCCTGTTGCAATAACGCATGTTTCCTATCAACTGTCCTGACACTGATGTGAATACCAGAAACTACGAAACTTTGGGATGGAATTTTCAGAATACTGAGAAGGAAACCCCAAATAGGAAGCAAACCCTCAAGGCGCGTGTCTTGCTTTCCTTTTGCATTTTCTTTGAGGCTTGGTAAGTGACCTAACTCCTATTCAGATGACCTACTAGAGACAGCAAGAGATATGGAATAGACTGCGTTAAAATGCTGCCTCTGCCTCGAGCAAGTTTAGCCCATGCCAGCCATCGTGTCTGTCTTATCTTCAAACAGGAATGTCACTTTACCCACTTAACAGGGCTCTTCAGAGGTGCCACAGTCTCTTATCTCCAAGGATGAGAGGGTTAGGGTTAGGAATGCCCTCCCTGTCTGCCCTTCACTTATCTACTCCTACAATCCCTCAAGTGCCAACCTCAAATTAGGTGCCTCCTCCAAAAGGCTTCCTGACCCCTATTCCAAGTGTGTGCTATGTCCTTGATCCCCATGTTAGCCTGTACTTCCCTTCCCAGAACATGGGACAGTAAAAAAGTGGTTCACTGTGGCTCTAGTTAGCTAGATTCTTGGGAGGAGACTGCTGGGATCATGATCTTACTCTCAGCATCGGAGCAGAGTCTGGCTCACCATGGTCCTAGGAATATATGAAGAATCCCTTTCCGTCTTCGGAACAATGATACTTTTTTGCATTCTTATCAGTCAACAAAAAAAAACTAAAGTGAAGACAAGATCAGGAACAATCTCACAGAACCTACCCCGCCCCCCGCAAAGGTCAGTGGGAACATGGGAGTCATTTCACCAAGCAGCCACACCCTTATGCTATGCCCCAGTACTCTTGAGCAATCCTGCATTCTCACTTTCTCAGTTGAGCAATCGAGAGTGCCCAAATCATCGTCAGAAATGAAAAAATAAAATAAAATAAGCCTGGGACCCTCCATCTCAAAGGATCTGAGGGCATGGAAACAAAAGCCATCCTCTAAGGGTGGCCCAGATATCACTTCCCGTGTGGCTAGGGCGTTCTATCCTTCCCCAACCATCACCAAGAGGACAGTCTTTCTGGTGTCAGTGTAGACTGTCAATCCAGGAGGGGACCCCTTTACCATTCCTGCTGTTGTGCCAGATTTTGAAATCCCCAGAAAGTCATCAAGTCTGAAGTCAGTGCTAAGGCATAAAGATGGTTTTATTCAGGTTAGCCTAGGTCTTCCAGCCACCTCCCTCAGCCCAGCCCAGCAGGGCTGGGGGGCGGGGGGAGGGGGGAAGGGGCAGCCAAGGCTGCTGCAGGATCAGCAGGGAGGGCAAAAGAGCAGGAGAGAGGGCAAGCTTGTGAGAGCCTCGGGTTGAACAACCCAGTGTTCTTACACATTTCAGGCTATTAATTATACAGTCATGACTTAGCAGGCTTCTATTGGTGGGTTTGAAGCAAGCAATTTTTAAAAAGTACAAATTGATGAGCCATAGGGTGGTGGATCTTATCAAACACCAGGTACCTCCTTCCTGAAGAGAGGTCTGCCTACGTGACCTGCCAGGTGTCCTGTCGGGTGTCATCCGTGACTATCAGGTCTGGAGATCACACAGCCCCCCGCCAAGCAAGTGAGGCAGGATCACAAAAGGCAGAAAACATCTAGGTTCTTCACCCCCCTCAGCTCAACTGGCAACTAGGAAGACAGACTTCAACTCCAAAAACACTTGAGCAGGCTTCAATCTCCACAAAGCCTGGGAAGCAGACCTCCAGAGACCTCCTCAGTATACCAGCGGTATTTATGTCACGTAGACCCAAGGAAGGGCTGCTTTTCCAAAAGCCACAATGGATGAGACCTTGAGCACTGGGCACCATCAGGGGAACCTCCCAGGACAGACTGAGGCTAGTGATCCCAGGCCTAGGCTGGACATACCCCTAGCTCACTGAGAACAAAGGCAGGACTCTGCGGAAACACACACACACACACACACGCTCATGCCCACACACCCCCAATCCCAGGGACACACATGCATCTGGCACAGAGATCCACATGCACTTACTTGCCCAACACCACAAATGGAGCTAAGTTTATGCAGATTTGCCACCACAAATCACATGACATGTGAGTGCACACACGCGCACACGCCCAAACATGCACACACCCACACCGAGGCAGGGACAGTCCTTCACTGGAAGAATGGATCAACAGTTTATCTCCCACACCCTCCCATCTGCAAGTTGCACCTGCACCAAGGAGCTTAAATGGGGCTGACAGTGAGGTGTGAGGAGCGAGGTGGAGCTTGAGGCACACAGAATGTGAGAGTGGTAGTATTTGAAGTCAATGTGAGGACAGACATCTGGAGTCTTGCATTGCTTGCCTGGACAAGGGAGCCAGCATGGTGCTCCAGGAGCTTGGAAACAGACCAAAGAGGCAGATGCAGCAGCTGATGGCTTGATAGGACCGCGTTGGCTAACAAGGCCAGCCAGCTGCTGACTGGTTCTTACTGCTGCTGCACATACAGAAAGCAGAGTGATGGGAAGACATAAGCTCTAGGCTTGCTGCTGTCTCCTGTCCAGATGGCACTGGCTGGTCAGCTAGGTTTAACCAGCCCTTTAGGTTCTTACTAGTGTCTCCTAATTTCATTTTCCCCTGGATTTCTATCTTATCTCACCTTTCTCACCTGCCAGCAGCAAAATAATACATCCGGAGACTTTGGGCAGCTCCTATCCCCACCCTTCTAAGGGCTAGGGGTCATTACAGCGTCCTCCATAACGACTGCAAACAAGGGGCTGTGGATGGACGCCTTACTCTGCCACTGGTGTAGCTCAGAGCGCGCCATGAAGGTCCTAGACAACACCAAGACACACAGGCGTCTCCGTCGCACTCTACACTCAGTGCCCGCCACAACAGCCTTCCGCAACGCGGCCGGGGAAGCTAGCGCTGGACGAACCTAGGCGGTCGCGCTCCCGCGCCACCAGCCGGCGAGCTCAGCTCGCAGCCGCGGTGCCTGTGCCAAGGCGCGCTCCCAGCTCCGCCCCGCCGTCGTCACTGCCCCACCCCGCCCCGAGCGCGGGCGGAGCCGAGCTGGGTATGAGCCTCAGCTCTACAGAGCCGCGGCTGAAGGCGCGCTAGCAGGCTCCGGCTCCGGACGATGCGGCTCTCCTAGGATGCTGCTGCGCCTGGCAGTGCTTCTGACGGCGCTTCTCAGCCTATACCCCGGCCCGGGCGCGCACGGTAAGGCCCCACCGTTCCTAGCCCTCGGTTCAAGTTTTGCGTGCCGTGAAGAACCCCGTCGGGCTGGTGCCTGATTCCTCCCCTGATTCTCCTGCGCAGTGGCAAGGCTGGGTCTCCGGGTTGCTTGTGGTAGTGGGACTGATGGAGTTGAGGGCGAGTGTGTGTGGTCACCCACCTCTCCCCCAGCTATCTTGGGCTGCTCCAGCTCAGGTCATGGGTACTGCTTATACCATAGGGAATGATTTTGATACCCTTCCTAGTCGGACCAATAATCAACCTCATTCTGGCTCCCTCCCATCTCACCTCCATCCCTCCCCCCACCACTCCTCTTGTTACCCTCTGATCCTCTTGAGCCCCAGCTTACTCCCACTGCCACCTGTCTCTCTCCCTCATAAGCTTCTGTCCATTAGGCCAGGCTTCTATCGCGGCCAACTTTCCTGGAAAGTTTCAGCAACTGAAAAAAGCTACCGAAAGAGAACAAGAGAATGACAAAGCAGGGAGGTGGAAGGACCAAAGCGCAGGGTCTGAGAGAGCAGGGACCGAAACCACATCTGCGTGACGCTAGCACACAGAGTCAAACATGTAGTCGGCCACTCACATGATGGAGAGCCGTGGGGTGGGAAGGCAGACACCGCAGAGCCTGGCCAGTTCCTCCCTTTTAGCCCAATGTTAGGCAACTGAGTCTGGCGCTAAGTGAGAGTGCAGAGCTGGGGCCAGGAAGCCCGAATAGAGAGGTGACAGGTAGCAGACTGCAGGGCCGGGGGTGGGGTGGGGAGGTGGGGTGGGGTGGCAGGGCTGAAGCCCTAGGGCTCCAGGAGTGGAAGCAGGGCAGCCAGCTACTCCATTCCACTTGGTGGCAAGAATCACTCAGAGGGGAGGGTACCATGCATGCTTATGAAAGAATGGGTTCAGCAGACCTGAATCACTGGCAGGTGCTGGCTGGAGGCTCTTGGAGTGAGGGTTTCCCAGGTGAGGGTTTCAGGGGCAGAGCAGACGGCAGAGTGGAGACAGGGAAGAGTATTTCCTGATCCAGGAGCCAAAAGTACCTGCTCTTGGTGGTGATGTCCTCACTCAGCCCACAGCTGATTTCTTCTGCCTGACCTGCCCCCTCCATGAAGTTGGGCATCTGGCTGCAGGACCAGGCCTTCCAGAAGTTAGTAGGAAATGAAGCTTGGGAGCCTGGGAGGTATGTGGAAAGAAGCAGGCCGCTGGTAGCAGGCAGGGTTTCTGTGCGTTCAGGGAACTCCAGAGGTGGCATTGGACTGAGGTTAGGATGAGGACTAGGGGTGTGATGAGGGCAGGCCTTGGGGTCACACTGGAGCTGGAACTGAGACCAAGAGCTCACTGCCAGCCTACTGTGGCCCTTGGCCCCTGTCTCTTCTTCAGGGAGGCACCATACTCAGCATGATTGTGGCTGCTGACCGCAGGAATATGAGGACACAATGCTGGCTGTGAAATCAGACCCCTAGATTCAATTCCCCACTGTGCCCCTTACTTGTCCCATTGGACTTGGGCAAGGATTCACCTCTCTGAGTCACCAGGTTTTTTCTTAGGTAGAATTGCAGTAAAAGTGCCTAACATTCAGCTGTCGTGATAATTCCAGAAACATGTGAGGGGACTTCAAAAAGCTTGTGAAAAAAATAGAATTAAAAGATCAATTTGTTTGGGATATATGTGTGGGATCTTCAGAAGGTATATGGAAAATATGCATTTTGAAAAAAATACATGGAGGACAAAACAAAAAAATGCAATGCACCGAAAGAAATTGATCTTTGAGTTCCATCTACCCATGAACTTACGGTTCTTCATCTCCAGTAAAGCGTTTAGCACCATCATGAAGTGCTCAGGAACTGGCGGCTGTCACGGTCTTTGTGCTATCTCCATGCCCCTAACCCAAGGTGGGGCAGGTGGGCTCTGCCAACCAGGGTGCTGACTCTTCTCCCCAGGGTCTGAACTGCCCCGCCCTTCATCCGTGTGGTTTGAAGCAGAATTTTTCCATCACGTGCTCCGCTGGACACCTGTTCCCCATCACTCCCAAAACAGCTTTTATGAAGTGGAACTCCTGAAGTAAGAAAGGGGAAGGTGGGAGGGAGTGGGTGAGGGAGCAGGTGGGTCCAGCCTGACCTTCCTCCCTGGCCTGGGTCGGTGGTGGTGGTGTGGCGAGGGTTACCTGCCTTGCTCTGGAGAAGACGCTGGAGGGTCCCTGACACGTATTCGTTCTGACACTCTAGTGCTGATGCAGTCGCATCATATGTGCCACCTGCGATGTGTTGGCTGGGAGCATGGGGGAGAAGGGAGCACTGCCTTTGCTCTCAAAGCTTTTCCATCTGCTGGAAAAACAGGAAAACCTCAATGACAGGCAGCCACTGTAGTTGGGAAAAGGGAAGAATGAGGCTGTGTGATCAAATGTACCCAAGGCAGTCCAGAGCAACTGGGACTTGAACTGTCCATCTTCCCCCTCTGAGAATCTTCCAGAACAAAGGGAAATAGGTGCAAGGCCCCCAAACCCAGGGATACACCCCCATTGTCCCCGACCCTGCAGAGGGCTGATCCAGTGTCTCCCATGTGGGAGCTCCTGCCCCTGGGTCTCTTGACCCTGTCTTCAGAGATGTAAGTTGAAGTCCAAGTTCACTTCCCAGTGTCCACCCCTGGTGTCTCCTCAGGTATGGAACAGATCTCTGGAAGATCATCACCAACTGCAGCCAGCCCGTGGTATCCTCTTGTGACAACTGCAGCCAGCCCGTGGCTTCCTCTTGTGACATTACCTTCGTGACCCTGGACCTATATCACAGCAACGGTTACCGGGCCAGAGTCAGGATGGTGGATGGCAACCTGTACTCCCCCTGGACCTTCTCCAACATTCGCTTTACCAAGGATGAAGGTGCTTTGCCTCTTCCCACCCCCCTCTCTGTGTACCATAGTGCGGCCTCTAGGATCCCTTCCAGCCAGAAACTTGAGTGTTGGGTATTCCTGTTCGTTTCCATAGCCTGCCACTATCTGCCAGGCCCCTGGCAGGGGATAGGCCTGAATCAGGACTTTAGGGAAAAGTTAGATGAAACAGCCCAAATGGTCTGAGACAAAAACGGGAACTGGAGTTGATTATCCTACAGAAGAGAGCCCTTGAGAGTGGCTGAGTCAGGAGGGCCAGGTCTGGGAGTGCGTGGGCTTTAGGGGAAGGGAAGGGAAATGAGTGTACAAGCACTTGGCACAGGATAGCATTTGTCCCCCTCCCTTGAGGGAAGATCCCTCCTACTCCATTCCCAAACAGATCCCCCAGCACTGCCAGAGGTTGTTCCTGGGCAAGAGCTACCGTTGACAAATCAGTCTCTCACTGCAGAGGCAAAGGAAGGATTAGTGCACTCAAGCCAGTGGGGGCTGAGCTTGCTGTATTTGACCTTTTTCTGCAGCTATGAGTTAGGGCCCATGATTGTGGCCAAGGGAGTCCTGATCTTCCAAATGGCAGTGGTTCTTAGGCAGATACTGATCAAGAGTCCCCATGTTCCAGGCCCAGCAGCCTCGAGAGTCTCCAGTGGACCCCCAGGGTGACTTCCTGCTTCCCAGGAAGTCTTCAGTTCTGATGGCTGACAACCCTGTGGCTTGGGTTTTCAGGGGAGTGTGGAAAGTCCTCTGTTACAGGCAAAGCATGGGTGGACTCCCAGCCCTACTCAGGCTTTGCCTCAAGGCTTTGCCTCAAGGCTTTGTGGTCACTCCTCTGTCCCCAGTGACTCTGACAGTTGGCAGTGTGAAACTTGAAATGTACGACAACTTCATCCAGGGCAAGATCCAACCGCCCAGACCCCCTGTGATGGCCCCTAAAAATGATACTTACGAAAACATCTTCAAACACTTTCGCGAGTATGAGATTGCCATCCGCAAGGTGCCAGGAAACTACACGGTAGGAGGGTAGTCCCTGGGTGGGAGTGGGAGAACCCCTTTTGTGTGCTGCAGGGGACTTTGCTGGCAGAGTAGGTGGGAGAGGAAATGGGGTGGTCCAGGCAGAGGAGATCTCAGTGCTGCAACCTGTGCAGCTCCCTGGGGTGACAAGAAAGGTGCTGTCTCCTGGGCGCTGGACAGCATGCCAGGCACACTGCTGCCATTGCTTTTGATGTCCATGTAGGGAATATCTGACTCCATTTTTGTAGACAAGGAAATGAAGTTCCAAGAGGCCTCGTGACACCCCTACAGGTGCCTCTGTTGGCATGCAGATATCTATAGCCCGCAAAATCCACCTGCTCTGTTCTACCCAGTTGGCCGCAGCCACTTCTGGGCTGAACCTCAGCTTGCAGAGAATGCTCCCTTTGCTTTTGTATTAATGTAAAATCAGTTGGTCCTGGTCATTGGTTGGGCTGCTGCAAATTTGTCATCTTGAGAACAAAGAGGCTGACAAGGTTGACCTCTACCTTGGGAGCTAAGCCTCCTGAGATTAGGAAGCTGAGCAGGGTGCTGCAGCCTCAGGGGTTTGTGCTCATGGCAGTGGTTTGCTTTTCAGCTTCCCAACAAGAAGGTCGGACAGGAAAACTTCAGCCTCTCTATCCCTGGAGAGGAGGGCACATTCTGTGTCAAGGTGAAACCCTCCGTGAGCACCCGTGTGAACAAGGCGCTGTGGTCCAAGGAGGAGTGCATCGTCCTCTCCAAGCAGTGTGAGTTGGGCTGGGAAGAGGGAGATGAGAGAGACCCTATGCTACCCAAAAGAGACCTGTTCAGGATTACTGGTGCAAGATACTGCCTGCCTCCCACCCCTACCGTAACCACACATCCTCATGCAGCCCACGAGAGCGATCCTGCTATCGCCAGTTCACAGATGGGGAGACTGAGAGTGCCCCAGGAGACAGAGCGGCAGACCCAGGCCCCCTGACTCCGTCGCCCTCGAGCATAGCTGTGCTTCCTAGGGCTCCCCTCCCCCATCCCAGTCAACCTCCATCAGCTGTGCTAGTTCCTGTTTGTTACAGTTCTGGGCTGGTCTTTCTAGGAGCTGGGGACACAAAGGACAGAGAAGCAGAGCGGAGTCGTCAGCACACTTGCTGCTCCAGACTCCCCAGAAAGGGTGGGAGCAGAAGAGAGGGACATTGGGGCCACCATCCTGCTCATGGGGCCCTGTAGTCTGGCTGAACAGGCACTGTCTGCAGAGGAAGCCCTAGAAAGAACTCAAGCCAGCATCCAACAGGTGCCCGGGCTCATGCCATCCAGGAGTGTGCCCTGTCCAGAGTAGGCAAAGACAAAATTACTCCTTCTAGATCTGCAATAAACTGCAGTTTAAGAAGGAGGGTTAACAGCTCCTTGTTATTGAACTCTTACCCCAGAGCAAGGTGCTCCATGTGTCAGGCAACAGCCACAGCTTATTGTTCATTCATTCATTGAGGTGGCGATAGTTTTGCTGGAATCTCAAGCTTTGCCACTGGTTGACTATATGGCCTTGGGCAAGTGACTGCCTCACTTAGCTAGGGACTCTAACCTATAGGAATGGACAGGGTTGGCCAAGGGATCCCTGGGGATTTCTCCTTCAAGTCCATGGCACTGGGCCATAAACATATCTCTCTGGACCTACAGATTTCAACGTGGTCAACCTCACCTTCTGCTTTACTTTCTTCCTGCTGCTCTGCGGAGCCCTGGCCTACTGCCTGGCCATCCAGATGTATGTGCGGCGCCGGGGAAAGCTGCCCACCGTTCTGGTGAGTGTCCAGGGAGGCAAGCACACGCTCCCTCGGCTCATCTGTATGTTCAGCTTTGCTACTGAGGCAGCAGTCACCTTCACTGGACAGTGTAAGGGGATAGAAGCCGGAAGTGAACCCCAAGTGCAGGTCTGAGTATGATGCCTCCTTGTAGCCCAGATAAGATGTGTGTTGAGCGGTTGTAGAACTTGATGGCCATGAGTCCTTTGCTTCTTGCTCATTGATAACTGGCCACAGACCAGCCCCTGACAAATGGGGACACTGAGGCACAGAAAGATTCTAACATGACCTGGAGTCACACAATTAGGGGTGAAACCTGTTTTCCCACTGTCAGTGATACTGACTGCTGCACCCAGAGAAAGAGCTGAGGGCTGTCACCAGAGGAATGGGTGCACAGGGGTGAGGGGACCCTGGAGCGGAAGAGGCTCTCAGAGGAGACAGGATTCCCGCTCTGCCCAGGGAAGGTCACCTCACTACCCTGTGCTGACAAATGATACACATGGGGCCAGCCAGCTGCAATCTGGGCAGACAGGAGCTAGTAACACTTTCCTAGACCTCCGCCAGTAAGCACTGGGACTTGAACTCTGGCCTAGGATGCAGGGTGCATCCAAGATTGCCCACCGTAGTCCTAGAACTGGTATTGCTGTGGGATCAGCCAAGGGATGCCCTGGAAAAGACACAGCCCAATCAGGAAGGTCAGGGCTCCAGGGAAGCTTGGAAACCAAAAGGAGGACCTCCAGCGGAGTCTGGGGTCTTCTAGAAATGATGAGAAGCAAGACCAGACTATGTGGGGTGGAGAGAGGGTGGGACTACCTGGCCTAATGAGGGTCCTTGTCTGGGCCACAAGGGACAGATTATCAGTGTGCCCAGATCTGTGTTCGCATGCTGAGAGGTGGTTTTGAGAAATCTTGCACTCAGACACGGGAGACTGGGACAGGCAGACCAGAAAGTAGAGGAGAGACCTAGTTGAGGATCAGAAAAGTGAGGTACTGTGGAGGAACAGTGATGGAGCGAGCACCTGCTGTGTGTGGAAAGCTGACAAGAAGCAGATGGGCATGCCTGGTCTCCCAGGGCCTGGTTACAGTGAATATGAAAGCTGACAGCCATTCTCTGAGTGCACAGCAGCGAGAGAGACCGCATTCCAGAGCAGGGAGGCAGCAGAGTCACTGCTGCACTTTCATTCCTTCTGTGCCTTTGGCTCACAGAATTGGTTTGTCTTTGAGAGGTAGCCATCCCGGTTCCCTTTGTCTAAGGCTTGTGGTCCCTGGCTGACTTTCTGAATGACTTTGGATGCACAGAACATGTGCACACATATTAGCAATTCACATCTATGGGGTGATGTCATCTTTCATGAGTCCACCAGGGTAGGAATGATGAGACAGGCAAGTTGTTTCAAAATCAGGGCATTTGGGTGTAAATGAGAAGTTGGGTGCTGCTGGTTGGCTTTGGGCGAGCCATTTAACTCCTCTGAGCTTCTCTTTTCTCCTTCATAAAGCAGAGATAATAAAATTGCCTTATAGAATGCTTAAAGGGCAAAATTCAGTTGATCATATCTATGCGGATTATCTTCTGTGAACCACATTAGGTGGGCCAGTGCTTTCATTGTTCCCATTTTATAAATAAAACACAGAGAAGCAGACAGAGAGTAAATAGTTCAACTGTAGAGACAGAGCTGGAAAGAGGCAACACTGGAACTTGAACCCGTAAGGTCTGGCTCCAGAGCACACACAGCCAGCAGTGTGCTGGTAGCAGGAAGTCAGCCACCAAAAGGAAATGAAGACAAGAGTCAGTAAGTCAGTCAACAAACCTTCCAGGTGCCTAGGCTCTAGGGACAGAGAGGTGAACAAGACTAGACAATTCCTACACTTTAGGAGCCTCTGTTCTCTGGGGGAGTAAATGTACCTGTGTATATGGAGGAAGGCAGAACAAATGTGGAAAGCAACGCCAGGAACCAAGTGCCAGGAAGAAGTAAGCAAGGCCAGTGCAGAGACTGCGGCTGGGGCACTGCTATGACCAGGGTGATTGGGAAGACCCCGCCACAAAGGGTGATTGCTGAGACCTGCTCAGAGAAAAGCACTCAAGACAAAAGGGGGAGTCCCAGCAAAGGCCCTGGGGCAGCCCTCACGGTACGTCCTGGCACCAGAAGGACCGTGTTGTGATTGGGGCCAATGAATGAAGGGGAAATGTGCTGGGCAACTGCTCTGGGGTGCTCATCAGTGAGTGGGGCACAGATCCCATAATGTTAGTTCTGTTCTAAGTGATTTGCTGTCTCACATGCAAAGTTCACAAAATGAAATGGAATAGGATCGAACAGACCTGAAGGTACTCCCAACACCTAGACGATGCCCATCAGTTCTGTTTTATGACTTCTGTTTCCCATATGCGTTTACACATACAGGTTATTTTGCAACATTTATTTCTTTGGATCAAAATCCAAAATAGTTTGAGAACCCACCACTTCTTCAGGTCAAGCAGCTCCCAGTTCTGAAAATCCCTGAGAGCTGTTGCCCTTCCCAGCAGGCTCCCACTGTACCTCCTGTTCTCTGCCATGCTGCCAGCTCCTTATGAATCTGACCCCAGCCTAACTGGCCATGGCTTTCAGGAAGGAAAACACACATAGCAAGTCAGCTGCAGTGGGGCCCAGGCTCTGCAGCGCTCCTTCTGGCACAGCTCCCCTCCTGGCTCGGAGCACCAGGGAGGCTCCCTGCAGGTGCTACCCACCTCACTTACTCCACCCTCTTCCACTTCTAGGTCTTCCGGGAGCACAGGCCTGTCAACCTCATCAGCCCACTTTCCTATCCGGGCACCGAAGACATCATACACCAGCTGGACACACAGTCCTTCCTGAAGGTATTACCAGGACCGAGGTCCTCACGCCTGCACAGCAATGCGGACAGTGGCTTTGGCAGCGCCAAGCTGGCCCTGCAGGCTGAAGAGCCCCAGTTCTTGCTCCCAGCAGCTCCAGCCCAAGCAGGTGGGCCCCTGGAGCTCCAAGACAGCTGCAGCCATGGCAGCAGCAACAGTACCGACAGCGGGATCTGCTTACAGGAGCCCAACGTGAGTCCTGGCACCCAGCCTGCCTGGGAACCGCAGACGGGGAATGCCAGCCATGGCCAAGACGACAGTGGCATTGGCTTTGTCCAGAATGCTGAGGGACTGCCTGGGGACACACAGAGTGGCTCAACCTCAGGCCACATCAGTGCTCCGGGGCCTGAGGAGCCTGAGGAGGAAGACTCACCCATGGCGGCATTCCAGGGCTACGTGAAGCAGACAAGATGCCCTGAGGAGAAAGCAACCGAAGAAGGCTTCCTGGAGGAAGACTCTGCCTTGACTCTAAATGGCCTTAGCCCCAGAATCAGGACCTGCCCAGATGTTGAGGCAGGCTGGACTGCATTAGTCCAGGCCAAGGGCTATTTGCGTCAGGATCCTGCGGAAACCACCACTCCTGCTCCCTTCGAGGCCCCAGCTACACAGTGGAAGCATCCAGCTGAGGAGCGGTCACTGCTGAACTTGACAGGCTGCAATGAGCTAGGGACATCTGACTGGAACTGCACACACCAATTTGCCACCTCAGACTTTGTGGCAACCATGGGTGGTCTCCTGGGCAACTTTGACTCAGATCTGGTAGCTCTGCCACTCATCTCCAGCCTGCAGTCAAATGAGTGAGCTGGCCCAAGGGACCGCTTCTGATGCCAGTCCTGCACCTGGAAGAGGAGCCAGCCCCAGGGCTTGGAGGTCAAACGTACCACCAGGCTGGGCATTTTGCAGCAAGTCTGATATCCCTGACGGCACTGTGGGGCAGGAGGCTGCAGGGCTGAACTGGCATGGAGTACACAATGGGGCCCAAGGCCTGTTTTGCTGAGCAGGAGCGTCTTGCAATGCTGATTCTGTGCCCACAGAAAACACAGACTGTGTGAAGGAGCTGCCTGTGTGAGGTGAACTGAGACTGAGTGTGTCCCCAGAGGCCAGTCAAGCAACTGGGCCAGTCTCAGGGCAGGAGTCCTGAGGCTGGGTGGTAGAAGAGATTTTTGTAGGATAAAGGGGGAATTCAGGCTGAGTTTGATCTCTGAAAAGGTCCCTCCTACTTTGGCAGGCCTCTCAGGCAGGGGGTTGGCCTTGGGAAGATCTTAAGGGAGCTAAGGAGGATGTCTCCAGGGTCCATTCACAGACAGCCACTATGACAGTGTCCCCCAAGACACTCACAGGGCTGAGCACACAGCAGCCCCCAGCCTGCCCACTGTGGCAGAGACACTAGAGTGGCTCGAGTTGGGCCAAAGCAGAGCCTGTGGGCTTGGGGACCAGCCCAGATTATCAGAATTGGGATCTTCCCCCACACTGGCTGCTTATGCCCAACTATAGACCCAGAACTCAGGCCACAGTTCAGGGGTCCTGGCGCTTGGCATTCAACTCGTTGGCTTTAGGCCATGTCTGCACCTTGGAAGGATCACCTTTTTTCCCCGACTGTGGAATAGGCCTTGGTCCAGGGGCCTGGATGTCAGCCAAGCTTTTTCTTTGGGCTACATTATCCTGCCTGCCAGACTCCTGAGCTGGGAGGAAGTGGACTCCGGAACTTGTCTGCCTAGAGCCAACTTCCTTCTCATGCCACGGGCCGGTGGATCTAAGCAGAATCCTGTGCCAAGACAGCTGCCAGTGACGGGGGCCCAGCAAGAGACGATGCCCAGCTGTGTTTCCCAGGCAAGCAGACTGGGTGATCACCAGGCCTGTGGCTGCCCTTTGGGGCCCTCGCCTGGTCATGTGTTCATTTGGGATTCTGAGAAGCAGACCTTGTGGCCCAAGAGGACACAAGCCACAACACCCCAGTCACTCAGCCAAGAAATTCTTCATGTGTCTGGAAACTGAACTCTCCATGGGAGTGGACACTGGGACAGATTCCTCGGGTTCTTCAAAAGCTTTATTTATTTATTTTGCTCATTTATTTATTGAAGAAGCAACCCAGGACAGAAAAGGAATTTGGGGCTGTGACTGTCCCATCCGAGTCATTTGAGCTTGGACACATCCCTTTTGGCGTCCAAGCCTTCAGTGTTCTCATCTGGGGAACTGGAGCCCGTTGATGTACTTGGTGTTGCTCCCAGTGATGTGAGGTGCCAACGAGAACATGCACGTGGACGGGCCTTAAAGGCGAAGCCTTGTACAGAGTATGTATGTGTGTGTGTGTGTGTGTGTGTGTGTGTGTTGTTCCAATAAATTGTGAGGACCACGGGAACTTCATTCACTGGTGTGAGGTCTGCTTTCAGGGTAGGTGGAATGCACTGGTGCTGATTATTGAGGATGATGATGACTGGGATATGGCATTGAGCCTGGACTCAGAGCAGACAGACCCAAGTTCAGATGCTCCTACTGGCCTTGACCTCAATGATGTCTCCCTGTTTGTATTACAGGGCCACCAGCTCCTCCTGGAGAGGTGGCAAGATTTAAATGAAGCCATGTTTGCCAAAAGTTTACCAGGCACACAATGTCCCACGTGTCACTGGCCATCCAGGGAAAGGGACAGTTTTTGTTTTTTTGTTTTTTTGTTTTTTTGCTTGAAAAGGAAAATTCTTTCAGAAGCCACAAAAGGCTACAGTGGCTGGCAGTTGTGACAAGTGGAAAGGAGTACCTGGGAGGTGGCCTCTTTCAGGAAGACAGCGAGCAACCCTCGCCCCAGTGGCTTGATGCTGAAGCCATCGAGCCTGATGCAGCCTGCTGCTTCTCTGAAAAGCCACACGTGGGTTTGAGATGCTCCCCAGGCGCAACCTAGCAGGTGGAGCAAACTCAGGCCCAGGCTTGCAGCCCCACTGTGCCGCCCTCACTTGCTGTCCCAGCCTGGATCCTCAGGAGGTGTCTGGGGAAAGCTCATTTCCTCTCTGGCACCTATCATCCCTCCTCCCCGCTCTGAAAAGCCAATCTGCTCTGGAAAGCCAATCTTCTTGCCTTCAGAGACCTAGACTAAGCATGCACTTGGGGAGCTGATTGGGCTGCTATCTGGGAGAGTTTTTGATCCCAAGTGAGAATAGAAATGGGGTTGGATTCTTCCTCCTAGAAATAGGGTGTTGGAAGAGACCCCTGCATTGGGGTGGATGGTGACTGACTGCAGGATGGAGAGAAAAAGCAGAAGGTTGTTTGTGTCCTGCAACCGGGTGGCTGGGCTGGGCCACCTACACCTTGAAGCCATTCCCATAGCAGACGGAAGTCAGCTCCCAGGCAGCGAGCACTTCCATCTGCTCAGCAATTGGAATAAAGTTTCAGAACATCCCCCACCCCCACCCTGCGGTTGTTCAGCTGAAAAGCTTCCTTCCAGGGCTGTGGCAGGCTGAGGGAGGTGTGAGTCTTGTGTTTCTGTGAGCTAATGAAATTTCCTGTTAGTAAGGACATGAGAGTGGGAGGGGCACTCAACTAGTACAGACTCCAGAGAAAATTCTGTGGAACTTTGTGGCCCCAGCTATGTGCTTGACTCTAATTGCAGAATATCCAGGATGCCTGGGACCCAGCATGCATGCGGCACTACCACGGGGGTGTGGTTGCTGGCACCCTCCCAGACAAAGCAGCTGGAAGCTCTCCCCTTGTCCCTTGGGGCCAGCAAACCAGCAACCCTGAGAGGCAGGTCTGGTAGCTACTGCTGATCTTATCAAATTTTGGCCTAAAGGACAACTAGCTACTGGGAAGCTTGACTCATTCACTTCCTGTAGTGCTCATGGGTTTGAGGGTTTCTTTTGAAGTAAAGCCGCAATCTTAAAAATGAGGTGCATTTTTTATTAATGACCCTCAGCACCTTTCCTCACTATCAACTCCATCTTCAACTCATTTCCCTTCCACCCCTGGGCAGGGGAGGGGCCCAGTGTGCACTCTTGTGGAAGAGGAAGGATTGGGGAAGAGAAGATGACCCTGGCTAGTGCAGGTGGCATAAGTTGGAGAGGACAGAAGGCAGCGAGACGTGCATGGAGGCTCTTAACTGTTAGATGACTGTGTGCCAGACACCATGTGCATGCAGCTCTGGGCTTGAACAGGCCTGTCCTCCTGGTGCAAGCCTTCTGGTTGAAGATATGCATCAAACCAGTGCATGCATTGACAAGCGCCTCCTTACCCTCAGTGATTAGTGCAGTATTCTGTAGTGATTACAGCTTGAGATCTGTACAAGGAGTAAGGCAGGAGTCAGAAAAACAGTGGGAAGCTGTCTCCATTCTGACTGTTAAACAAAATATCATAGGTTGGGGGGCTTACTGCAGGCTCCAGGTGCCAGCCAGGTCTGCTCCTGTGACAGAGCGCTCTTCCTGGCATGCAGACAGCAGCCTCCTTGCTGTGTCTTCATTTTGTAGGGAGAAAGCTCTGGTTCCTCTTTTTGTAAGGTCATTAATTCTGTCACGGGATCCCCACACTCACATCCTCATGTAAACCTATTCACTTCTCCACCTCCAAATATCATCACATTTGGGGGAGCGGTGGAGGTTAGGGCTTCAATATAGGAACTGGGGACAGGGGCAAACAATCCATAAAGAGGCTCATACAATGGACTGATCAATGACAACACTGAGTAGGGGCAGCTGCAAAAGACATTCAGAAGGAGGTATTGGCAAGGACAGGAACTGACTGGAGAGAAAACAGAAAAGGGAATCAGAGGTGCATATCACATACAAACCTGAGGATAGATAGGACATGGAAGAGAAACATGGCTTGGAGTCAGGAGACAGGGAGGGATGGTAGTGGTGGGTCTGGCTCCCTAATGGCATCATCCAAAGAAAAGATGCCCAGCCATTAGCAAAACAGGCTGGGCACTGGGTGAGGTACCCAGGGCCAGGGAGCTCTGTGAGAATTCAGTGCCCTCTGACCCACCGCATGAATGAGCCATGGGTGCAGAGTAAGGGACCTTGAGACCCCTGCAGCCAACCTGCATTGAGAATGCTCACCAGGTGACTTCCTGCCTTAAAGGAAAGCAAGCTGCCATGTCTTGGGCTCAGAGTGACAGAGCCAGGCCTACACTTGGTCTATCTTGCAGACCCTGGCCAGGATGCTCACTGGAGCTCCTTGGCTAATCATAGCTCATCACTGGCAGCTGAAGGTTCCCCTTAAGCAATTATCCAATCAGCAGAGATCATAGGTTCTGCAGTGAGTCTGCACAGAGATGTGAACATGCTGGCATGTGGTCAGCACAAGCTTGGGTGGATGGTTCCACACCTGCCTATCTCTCCCTGCATGGAGCAGGAGAGTGGAGGCGAAGGTCTTCACAATGACCCTGGAGAAAACAGGGAACTTCTCCAAGATTCTGCAACCTGGCCACTTAACCTTAGCATTATTCTTTGCCTTTGCCTTCCCCACATCCCCTCTACTTATCATCTAAGGCAGTTTCTCCAAGTCTTACCTGCATCAGGATGATGGGGGTTCCTGTCCTCCTAAGCTTCTCCCCAAGGCTCAGAGGGAGCACCTGTCCCTAGGACCTGCTGAGGAGACATGTTCCAGGCCAGCAAGATGCAGGTGGTTCTGATACACTCAAGTGTGGGAATCTCTTCTGCAAGGAATGACTCAGTGACTTGCTGCTCTATTAAAACCACTCCTTCTCAGTCCACTATTCCCTACATGCCTTCGCGTGTATCTCTACAGGCCATCTGAATGCTCATGGTGTTCAAATGGCCAAGCATGGTTTCTTCCCTGTACCCAAGACAGTTGCCTCTTGGGGGCTGTTCCTTTTGGATATCAGGCATAAGTCCCAAAACCTAATGTGACTATCCCACAAAGATAAGCCTTGCCCAGTCTTCCCCACCTGGGTAAATGGGACCATGCTTTCCCTATTCATCTCTTTCCACCCCCCTTCATCTAACCCAGTCCTGTGAGGTCTCTTGTCTAGGCAGGTGATGAATACAATTGCTTGTCAACCATTCCCACCATTTTCACCTTGTCACCAGTTCTGCCTTGGAGCACTTGAGTCTCTGCTTCCTTAGTTTGATCTCTGTAGCACTGGCAGCCTGACCTGAAGTATGGGGCTGCAGGCACTCCTCCAGGACAAGGAGCAGCTAGAGCAGATAACAGGGGTGTGCAGTGGACCCTGGAACTAGAGAAAGTCAGCACCTGCTCAGATATGCCAGGGGAAGCTCGAGTGCGGAGCAAAGCAAAAGATGGCATTGTACCTGTTTTCCGTGCTGGGAGGGGTCATGCAAGGGGCTGTGGAGTGTGCAGAAGAGGCACATGGTTCAGCTGGAGGATTCTGGGTGGACTCTCCGGCAGGATCAGTCCCAGAGTCCTGAAACATTCTGGCCAGCACCACCTTATTCAGCACTCTCCCTTGGCATTCAGCTCTTGGGAAACACTGACTCCACTTGCCATCTCCACTACTGCTGCTTCTGCTGCACTGACTCCAGGGACCCCATGCATATCATATTCTAGGTGGCCAGCACCCCTGTGGTTGTTCAGCCCAGGGGCTGGGCACTTAGCCTCCTCCATCCACCAGGACCAGGCTACCTCCTGCACACAGGTAGCTGGCAGCCCATACTCACGCTACCAGTGCCTGGATTAGCAGTCCATCCCTCGGAGATCCTCCAGCCTGTCGAATTGAACCATCATTTCTGCCTCCTGAGTCTGGGTTTTCTCTAAGTGTCTCCCACCTGGCTAGCGCTGCTCCCACCCACAGTCATGGAAATCAGGCAGAACTGCTCTCCCCTTGACCCCCACCCCCCACCCCAAAAGGAAAAGCTGGCCCTTGTCTCTGTGTCTGCCTCACCATGACTATCTCCCATCACCTCCTGGTCAATTTCTTTCTCCCTCCACCAATAACCCTTCCTGAGTTAAAGGGTCAAAAACAAATGTGAGCAGTTCATTCTACTGTCCATGGATCCCATTGTCCATAAAACAACACTCAAAGCCTTTGCTTAAGCTAGAAGGTTCTGCAAGATCTTGCCCCTGTGTACTGTTTCACTCCAGTTCTCCCCTTTCACATCCTCTCTGCCCTTCCCCTCTGGCCCCCAGATCCACCCACCATTCCCCAGCATGCTGTGCGGCCCCAGGCCTCTGAGCCACTCTGTGGTTTCTTGTTCCCAGATCCCCTTCTCCATCAAGGCAACCCAAAGTCTGCCCCTGCAAAGCTGCTCTGGGTCCCTCAGACTTGTAGGTACTGCCAACAAAACTTGCCCTTGCACAGCAATTCAGTGAGTGTCAACTCCACTAGAATGAAAAGGCAGGTGTGAGTCCTCATCATATCCTCTGGGTCCGCATTAAGTGTGTGTGTGTGGGGGGGGGGTGCACAT